TAGTCAGTACCCTACCTGCGATCTCAAAAGGAGTAGTGTTGCTGTTTTCTGCGTTTTCTCTTAAATCACCTTCACTTTGCTGCAGTGTGTGTTGGTCACAGATCATCACTGGTGGTGTCCGTAAACATGACTATAGGGCATTGAGTTTTTTTTAGTGATGATCTGGACCTGTGCAAAATAAGACCCACATTCACTTTTCAAGGGTCAGTTAGAGCTCTGTCTCTTATCTCCCTCACATGTTTAAGCACTGATCAACTGTGTTGAATATTAATGTAGCTACTGCTGGTAGAATTAATTAAATGGTGATTAGCCTTGATTATTTGATTAACTAGTGCCATCCCTGCACTGCTCACTTAAGAGTTGATTACTTAAGACATGACTTTGGACAGCCCGTGTACGACTCATTGCTAGATTTAACTTGTAGTAGGTCAGGTTGGAAGGCACCAATCGACGTGACTTTCAAGCCCCTTTTCTTTGTTACGTCCCAATTTGGAGAAACAAAATGTAACCATAAATAGCCCACTGAAAGAAGGCTTTAGTCTGATCATAGCTTCTACCTGGAAAACACATTCCTTGATTTTAAAGAGACAATTGAATAGAGAAGAAAAAATAAGTTGTTACCTTGTATGCCAGACTGTTTGTGTATTCCACATTGATACAATACTCAGTGCCCAGCCAAACATGGTGGCACTGCCAAATCTGACTTGGCTAAGTGTTAAACAGGCTGGCACCCTGGCGTATGACTGCGTTTTCTACTTTGTTGCTTAGGAGGTTGCTTTATGTTAAGAGGGTGATTGTATGTTGTGCCCAGTCTGCTGACTGAAGTTACAGTAACATCTCTTAGATGCCTCTGCATAGAGACCTTTTCAAAATGGGTTATTTATTTCTAGCCAGGCCATGCATTGACATTTCCTCAGTGGTTCCTGTAAATAGAATCTAGTACACACCACAGCCACGCTGGCGGCTCACTGAGGCTTAACTTAGGCACATTCGTGCTTTGTGCTAAATGCTAAAATCAAATACTGGTCAAATTCAGACCTTATGATGGCACTAGATAACTAAGGAGTCACCAGTGTTATATAACGGGTCATCCTGAGCAGGATCTGCACATGATTTCATGGCAGTCCATGCAATAGCTGTGGAGACATTTAATCCAAAACCACAAATGTCAAGCTCATGGTTCATTCCATTGGAGAGTGAAAGTCATCTGAAAGTCAGGCGATCATCGTAGTCATAGATATACATTCTCTGGGTGCCTGTGCAAAATCCATTCCATAGGTCAGTGAAAACCTTGACCAGCTGGTGAAGCAAGAGAAAATGTCAGAAGAAATCATTGAGATGAATTTTAGGGGACCATGAGTATCTGTACCAAATATAATGACAATCCATCCAGCAGTTGAAATATTTCACTACATGAGAGATGTTAAAAATGTTAGCCTTGACGCGAGAGGAAAGGTCAGTGGATCACCAGTGTCAGTAGTTTGATCCCCAGATGCAGTTGGAAATAATAGTCTAGACTGAGATAATATCTGTGCCATGTGAACATTTAAGAATAATATATTTGTTTTGAGCAGTAATTTGAAGAAAATGCAGATTCTCCTATGTGAATGTCTCTGTGGAGTCACACATAGAGCCTGTAATATGTCCATTACAAATTCCCCCCCAGTAAAAGTTTTCATGTACAAGTAAGTGTGGATTTTGGCCTGAGCCCAGACCCTGAATTGACAGGATATATATCAGTTACTTTTCAGCAAGCCATTCCAGTGAGACTGATTTCAGAAATGGCAGTCAGATCATTCAAAGACCTGTTGCATAATTGTAGCTGCAGGTTTTGAATATCAAGCCAATTTCCAGAGTTCTCCATTATGTAAAGACATTGCTCGTCTGGAGCATGAAGGACCCGTGCAAGTTAGTTACTGCCATTTCCAGAATCAGCAGAAACTGGTGAAAACTTTCCTTTCCAACTGCAGCAGCCTAGTAAGCAGAAAGATCGAGTTTCAGTGAAATTTGGTTTTTCCATGCTGTGAGTACAAATGTCAACTGCCAGTGGAAGGTCTGGCTGGTGCCATGTCTGGCTCTGCATGTCTGAACAGAGCCTTGGCTGGCTGATCAGAGCTGAGGGCTGCAGGAGCGGGCTCGCTGTGAGATGCCTGAAAACTGGTGGAGCTTTTCACATTTCAGCTGGGTCTAAAACTCTTTTGATATTTTGTCTGGCTTACTCTGATGTTCTCTTTTTGTGTGACAGACTCTGTGTCTTTCTCACTCTTGCATAAACCTCTTCACCCCCACTTCCCTTCTGTCTTGGATTGCGTGTCTCCTTCCTCAAAATCTTGCTTGATTTAGGGGGCTTATGGAAAATCTATAACAGGTGGGCTGTGTTTGAAGGATATGTCTTTTCTAATTATCTGTTTGCAGAGGGATTTGGGTGGGTGGCCGCTGGGCCAAATGTTCTCCCAGTGCAGTCCTGCTGCCTGCCTGTCTGCTATTTGTTGCCTTGAGTCAAATTAAAATCAGCTTATTGGTCAATTAAACTATTTACTATAAACCTGTAGTTGGTCGGGTTTTCATCAAAAATGTACCATTCAATATTTAAATCATGTATCTTTATCTATCAGATAAAGAAAGAAAATGAGACCACAATGAGGCACCAGAATCAAAATGACCCAGTCGCAGCTATAAAAAAGAACAACGCTGATAAACATCTCGGATCTGTATTGTTGTTTAGGTTGGTTGACTAGCTGTGTTAAAGGCTTAAATAGTAGTGAGTTGTGATCTGTGGTACCTTTTTGCACATAAGATGGGTGATAGATTGCAGATAAAATTAATAAACAGAAAATAGTTATCAAATTACACATACTATAGGATGTATTCAACCTCAGGTTATCTACCAGTCTGTCTGTCTATCTAATCTCAATGTGTCCCTTCTCTATAGTGCTCTCACATCTTCCTGTCTTGCCTCTTAGGTAGCTTTTGAGTACCGTCAGTGTTACACATCGCCAAACCCAAAACTCTGACTGGGCCGCACCTTCTGCTAGCGAGAAATGCCCATTGCTCTCCCATAACTGGGTTTGTACAAGAGCATCAGGGTGTGTATTATGCTCTCTATTGGCCTGAACATTGACTTTTGGCCTGTTGTGAGGATTACAGCTCAGTGATACTGTATGTCTGTAAGAGCTTAGATCTTGGAGCGGAGACTCTAACTTGAGACGGCCACATAGGTTGTTGAAATCGCTGACTGTGTAGAAAAGGTGGACAAGCCCACTGTGACATCACCCAATGGTTTTCTAAAGAGAGGTTTTGAAGCCCCCTGCCATATTGGTAGTGCTTCACCCTGCCTGCTACAGCTAATCCAATAAAGGGCAACGAGATGGAGCATGAGTGGGGCTGAGGCGGGCTGAATGGGTAGAATGAAGCTAGCCACCAGTTAATCATGGGAGTCTATGGGGATTGAATCCTTTTTGGAGTCAGCCTCAAATGGCCATTTGAGGAACTGCAGGTTTTGGCACTTCTGCAATGACTTCGTTTCTCAGCCTCAGGGGTTTTCGCATGGTTGAAACTAATTATGCTTAATCAAATAACCATCATCAAAGTTTATGACTAATGCTTTACTCTTTTTTCTGTGCCATTACTTTATGCAATTAATAAGGAAAAGATTATTAATAATGCACTGAAAATTTCAAATATCAAAAAAAATGCTTATATACTGGAAGCTTTGTTTTCAAAGTTCACCTTGTTTTATTGTGGAGGAAGTGTCTGGAGAGAGGGAAGTCTGGGCATCGTTGCTTAGACTGCTGCCCTCGCGACCCGGTTCCGGATAAGCGGAGGAAAATGGATGGATGGACCTTGTTTTATTGTGTATAAACAAAACCTATTTTTGAGAACTGCCATTTTAAGATGATACAGATTATTTATATGGGTTTGTACCTGGGCTGTGTATTGATACTTTACTAGCACTGTGAGCGTGACAACTTCAAAACCAGACAGAAAAAGTGCAACCATAATTAAATTGTAACATTCTCCACTCTGCGTGTCAGTGAATGGAAAAATTTGGAGTCACATTAAAATAAAACCGTTATATTTGTGGGACGTGCCTGTTTTGTTTTTTTGCAATCCTACAATCATTCTGCCAACCAGTGCAGAATGCTCTTCTATATACTATGCTAACAATCTCAATAATCTTATTAAAAACACACACACATACAGACACACACATACACACAGTTTCCATGGAAACAGGATCCTGGGCCCTTTATGACTGGTTGTTTGCTCAAGACAACCAAAAATGGTCTCAGCAGCCGTGCAAAGACGGGACATAAATCATTTGTATAATAAATAGTGGGGGCATGTAGTTAAATACGTGATAATACAGTGTGTTTGCTGTTGCATGAAGTAGTATTGCTATTGAATATAGGTCAAGACATTGTCATATTCATTAGGTGAATGACCTCATTTTTGTTTATATGAAAGCATACAGGATGTGTTTTGCATCTCTGCTCTGTTTCTCATTTTGTTGTACTGTTTGAGTTGTGCTTACACATGCCTGTAATATGGGCACCGACTGTAGTGGCCACACACATTCAGAAACAGACCCATTCGGATACTTTCCAGCCGCCCTTCAGTAGCCTAATGTGTGTCTGAAGGCCAGATGGTGTAGCGGTAGGAGATCTGATGGTGCTGCTAGCCGTGGTGCTAGCAGCTTTAGTCTTGGCTAGCTCTGCCTGGTTGGAGAGGGGGGAGCCTGCAGCCAGCTACCCCTCTGAGTGAAAATGGCAAGTGTACAATTCACAGCTATGCACTCAGTGTTTAGCTTTGCTGTGGTTGTAGGATGAATTTGTTTATTTCTTTTTATGGGAGCCAAATTGTGTGGCCATTTGACACTTGACTGTGAATAGTAACAGGGGCACTTCAACTCTCATGATGCTCCTATGTTGGCCTTGTTTTTGCTTTGGTTGTTTTGATGACATTACCACATGCTTTCCTGTTTGTGTCCCCAATGACAGGAAGCAAGCTGAACAAGGACCTGAGGAGCTACCTGAGCCAGCGCTTCCAGAAGTCTTCGCCTGACCACGAGCTGCAGCAGACCATCCGGGACAACCTCTACCGCCATGCTGTGCCTTGTGAGTTCCATCCGCCTTGCGTTATTTCCTCAGCTTCCTTGTGTTTGTCATGCTCTGCTCCCTGTTTAAACTGTTCCTCCAGTTGGCTTTATATGCTGACAAAAGTGCTGTAACTCCCAAGGTATTTATCACTATAAAAAAAACAACAACAACAAAAAAAACAAAACCTTTGGGTTAGTTCATGTCATTTGAGCCACTGTCATAGCTTTAACCATGACCGCTTGGGGATCCATGTAGTTGCCTCACACAGACACTTTGCATAGTTGTCTAATTAAGTTCGATTGTTTCAGTCTAATCCCAGCAAGCTTTATATCTTCCATGGAGCTCACCTCACGTTGTGGGTTTATCAGTTTTATCACTAATCTTCATCCCAAAATGGCCTTTTCCACCTGCCTCCAAAGCTGATAACAAGCAGTGAGCTGATAAAAAGTCAGCCACCCTCATTAATTCAGTCAGCACAGTCTTTTCTTTATTGATATTGTCTGAACAATCAAAGAAAATGTCTGGTGGCTCCACGGTGAATAGGTTAGTAGTAGGGATTGATAGTAGTTTATTGATTTGCATAGAACAGTAAAATCAACTTCATGGACCAAAAAGAGCCAGGTTCATCATTTCCATGACACTGGCGTTGGAATTCCCTATTGGACACAGGATGTCTCACTTGTTTGAGGCAAGAGAAGGAAAGAGATGTAACAAGTAATGAAACTACAGAAAAGGCTGGCCTACTAATTTTTTTTTTTTTTTTTTTGTCACTTTCTACCATAAAATCATTTCTGGAATACTGTAATTTGAAATATTCAGACTTGATCAAAACAACTTATTTCTTGGTAATTACTTTTTATTTGTTCCATCATCATACAGTTTCCAAAGCTTTATCTTACTTATCACACTGTTTTGTTTGTTTGTTTTTGATTTGCAGTTAATTCCAGACTTGAAAGGGAGCCACCTGGTTTGCATGGCTCTCAACCATTGTTTTTACAGTTTGTTTATTCATGGCCCTCTCACCCAAATGACTACCCGTATTCAGGAGGCTTGTTGAAGAGGACTTGATCTGTATTACCTCCACTGCCATATGTCAGCCAGACACTGGTGGAGAGTGGGGGTCTGGCAGTAAAGGCCAGTTTAATCACTGAGTGGTCTATAGCACACCAGACAGAATCCTGGTGTTGTTAGCAGTAAACAAAGCATGAAGGTACTTCCCAGGCCGAATGTTTTATAGGACTGTAAAAGTTTGTTGGCATGCACTTGTAGAGGAGTGGGAGACTTGCTGGAATATTAAATTTATAAATCCCATGGCACTACTCAACTTTTTTCTTTATTATGGGAGGGCAGTGGGCTCAGTCCCTTATGCCCTGCACAGCACTCTGAATAACAAATGATTAACACAGTAGTTGTATATGAAAGCGTATGCAAATGCATGTGCTATTGGTGCCTAAGTGAGATGGATTTGCCTGGACAGCTTTGGTCTGTGGTTTCGAGAGGTCATTGCGTGTATCCATGTTTACGTATGTGCAAAGGTTGATCAGAGCGTTGTCTATGTGCATGTGTAGGTGTACGTGTGATTAACGCATGACAAGCAGGTGGAGAAACAGATGGAGACGTGTGTCTGTGTATGTTGGGGCTTCTCCTGCCACTAAATCAAGTGAAATAGTAACTCAGCTGAACCAGGCTTTCTGCAAATTGTATTGCACAATACAATAACCAACTGTCTGTTAAAGTCCACATTTGTAATTTTTTGACTCTATGGATTTGAATGTACCTAATTATAGAAACTTAGCAGTTTGTGCATTTGTCTACTAGTTGGCACTACAGCAGTTTTGCAACAGCAGTTGGAGAAGTCTAATGTGCAATAACCAGTACTAGTAGTAAAAAACTTATTAGTACTGTATACAGCCAGTAACTGTAATTCTTATGTAAATAATATTCCAATAATTTAATAAACTGTATGGTTACATGAAGAGAAGACAACAAAACCTTACACACTTACTGAGACAGTGTACTATAATCTCTGTTGACTCATCATGTTGACCTGGGCTTAGTGTGGCATTGTCAGTTGTGGTGGGTCAAGTCAAGTGAGATTTTGTTTGTACCCAGAAGAAGCCTCAGGAAGGGCACCCGACTCCCAAGATGAACAGACATACAGTAGGTGTCCTGCACACAGAATGAATCGGTACAACAGATTCAACAGTATGAATAATCAGAGTTGTAAAAAATATAAACATATATGAAGAACATGATCTTAAAGAACCAGCAACTTCCAGGTTCCACCAACAGACCCAAGTCACACAACCTCCCCTCTAGACAAAGATGTGGTATCCAGACATCTGGATAGATAGAAGAGAGGCAGGTCTCAGGGCGGCCGATGGTTCAGCACAGAGAAACTGAGTGTAAGAGAAGATCGTATGTATGTTCAGGGGAACCAAATACAACACGGTTAGAGACATGCAGTGTCAGACAAATGGCTCCCCCTTCACGCTGGTGTTCTAAACAACCAATAGGAATCACAAGAGAAGCGATATGAGCTTGATCAATCACTGGATTCCCACCTACTGCCAGCAATGTTAGTTGGAGTGCCATGCCATTTGCACCACAGCAGGGACTGAACACTGTGGTGGTGAGAGAGCATTTATTCTGTGACATTATTTTAGTCTTTTATTACTCATCCAAACTGTTTCAATTCTGCATAGTCTAGACAAAACTAGTAAGGGACCCTTTTTTGAGAAGTATCTTGCAGATTGCAAAGTACAGAAAATGGTTAAACTGAGAAAATATATTTAGAAGTAGTAAAGCAACTTGGTAGATTAGCTATCATAAACCACAAAAATACATTTTAAGAAATGACTATCGCAGAATAAAGTAGCACTGAAGATTCAGTGACATTTACTGGACAAGTCCGCCTTCAGGTACTTCTCTGAAGATTTTTAAGTTTCAGTGCAGTTGGTTGTAAACATAAACTAGTCTCCTCACTCACATGTGCAAAATGACAGTTGTTCCTATAAAACTGTTAAAAATGTGAAGCCACAGCTCTCACACCCTCCCCCATCTGCTAAGGCGTCTATCAGCTTCCCTTGTGGTCACCCCATCCCCACTGTGAGCGTTCCCATTTTCCCATTGTGCTGGCTAAACCCCCCACCCCAAAACTCAGGACGCCACTGCCTCTCGTCCCGTCGCTGCCACTGCTGCTCCCTTTCTCCATCTGTATTGCTTTTTGCTACTAGTTCATCAGAGCAGTAGCAAGAAGCAGAAGAACAGGGGATTGCTCTGTTTGGTTTATACCTGATTCTAAAGCTCAGCATTCTGTGTCAGCGAGTCTTGAAAGGGGAGCTCTGGTCTCTCCTGCATCAAGGCAAGTAGCAGTATTGTTTGCAGTGATGTTGATGGCTTACTGCTTGCTTCTCAAATAAGCGACATTTGTGGAGGCTTGTGTTCACGTGCGTGTGTGATGAATTGCGGGGCTCACAGCACAGGCGATTGGACGACCCATATATAGGCTAAGAGGACTGCTCGGAGGGAGGTGGGGGCTGAAGCCGCGGGGATGGGGGTGGGGTGTAGTTTGGGTGTGCAAGGGGGCAAGAAGGGGGGGATGGGCATAGAAGAGAAAAGAAGAGAGAGGGGATGGAAAGATACAAAAACACTCACTCACTCATACCAATGTTGGTTCTAGCTAGTCAGTCAGGCTAACATATGTATACAAAATGAGTTATAGGTGGATGATGATGTATGTACATTATGTTGTAGCCTATATCGGACTTTACTGTGTGGTCTGATGTGCTTCTTCTGCTGTGAGGGTGTCTACAGTGTGTACAGAAGCAGTCTATCTGGTGTTATTTTGGTAAGGTTAGAGATTGCATCTGTGGATGCAATCACGCAGTCACCTGAACAAAAGAAATGCAGTCAGAATGTGAGAATGACTTTGCCATTGTTAAACAGCAGAAGGTGGTAAATCAAGAAAGATTAAAGAAGATGAAAAGAATATTTAGAGGTGAATTTTATACTCTATTGACTTTGTTAACCCAGAAGTGGACCCTGTGTCGGTCAACCGTGTGTGTGTGTGTGTGTGTGTGTGTGTGTGTGTGTGTGTGCCCGCAGTTTGACATGCATTGAAAATAAACGGGCTAAACACATGGCACATGTCTTGCCAATGACGGAGCTTTCCTGTTGTGCCACTTCTCAGCTGTTGACAGTTCACTGTTACAAAGTGTGCTTTGTCTTGCATTGGATAGCCACATTTGGATGCATATTTAGTATCACTGCTGTTAATCTAGTCTTGGGAATTTTAGAACCATCAACTGAAATATGGCTGACCTGTTGATGCTGTCAAGGAAAGAAGGTACTATCAGTAACAGAGCTTCATCAGTTCCTCTCTTTCTTTTGTTGGGCTATTCATACACAATGACATGGACATTGTTTCCTTCATTAATGGTCAAACATAGTGTACATTATTATGTTATGTTTTTTACGTTGTTTAAATTAAAGGTATCGTTTTTACCCCATACAAAACATGGGAAAATATGCATTTCTACTTTTTGATGACAGTTGCTAGGTCTCTCATATCTGTATGTTAACTGAAGCTTGCGGTAGAGGGGCAGTTAGCTTAGCATAAAGACTGGAGACAGCTAGCCAGGCTCTCTCCAGAGAGAACAAGATCGACCAACCAGGTCCTGTAAGGCACACTAAACACATTATATCTAGTTTGTTTACAAAATTTGTTACCTTTGGACAGAATCAGACAAGCACCTTCCCCCAGTTTCTAGGATTAGGTGTTAGGGTTAGGGTAGCTCTAGGTTCCTATGAGCCATATGGACAGATTGGTATTGATCTCTCAACATGAAAGTGAATACGAGTATTTCCTAAATGCTAAACTATCCCCCAAATCTTATTTTGTACATGTCAGATGTCTTCCTCCTGAACAGCAATGTGTGCAAATTTTAAACAGAATACATTGACTTATTATATTCTGATATAACACTACACTGTATCAATTTGATTACATTTGAAAA